TTCAGTATATATCTATTTTCACCAGTATTTCTTCTGTTGTCTGACCAATCACCAAAAAAAAGTTAATACATAGCTTCAATTCCACGACCTTTAATTTTAGCAACCAAACTTCTGTGTGGAATTTTCGTGAATATCTTTGAAAATCTGGGTAAATTGCAACCATAGATATTCTCCTTATACTGCTTCAGTTACCTCTTCCAAAAAATATTCAAATAGGTTCATTTCATAACACCTACTCTTTACAAATCCATGTAGAAACCATATAATTTTGGTTGCTGAAAAGCAGATAAATACATGGGAAATAAGGGGCATAAGTGCAAAATTCAAAGTACAAAGATTAGCTCACAATGTATAACAAAATGGTGGAACAGATTCAAAAAGCCTGCAATAGTAAAAGATTGAAAAGCACTAGTTCTGCATTAAAAAAAACCCAATTTACATTCATTTCACATGCAGCATACAATCAAAGAAATTCCTATGAGCAGTTTTAAGAAACAAATGGACCGAGATTACAGAACATCTACTTACACAAAACTAAAAACTGACTGCCATACATATGCATGAACTACAGTTTGCACAATTTTCCATTACGCCCAAATTTGTAAGCCAATCTCAATCTTTTCAATTCAGAAGACAAGAAAGTTAGCTATTCCTTGAACGTTGCCAAGATAAAACTCTCATTAACCCACACTTGCTTAGCCAAATATTTCACGTTCCATGCATGCTGAAAGAGAAACTTGGGAATATGTTGAATAATTCCAATACTTCAGCAGTTACCTTTTTCAGAAGGTCACTAATGATAAAGTGATCCAACTGCACTAGCTCAGCCTTCTACAAAATATGGTCACAAACGTTTGACAAAAATTAAGTCAACAAAGATCTGGGTATGCTTAACAGGTGTCATCAGTGCAATCCTGTACTGCGCCTGGACTGTGCAGTAATGTCACCTGTATCTACTCCTCATAAACATAAGCACCATCCAAAACTCTGTTGCCCACATCCTACTTGCAGCAAGTTCTGTTCAAATCAAACAAAGAATTCCAGATGCTGGAAATCAGAAACAAAAACAAATTGCTGGGAAAACTCAGCAGATCTAACAGCATCTGTGGAGGGAAAGCAGAGTTAACGTTTCACGTCCAGTGAACTAAAGAAGGGCTACTAGACCCAAAACGTTAACTCTGCTTTCTCTCTATAGATGTTGCCAGAACTGCTGAGTTTTTCTAGCAACTTCTGTTTTTGTATTAAGCTCTGTTCAGTCATTTCGCCTGCATTCACTGATTTTATACTGTTTCCTGGTTAATCAAATCTTAGATTTTAAAATTCCCATCGCTGTTTTCAAGTCCCCCCAACGGACTTTCACCTTTCTGCGTAATCGCCTCCTGTCCTGCAACCCTCAAATATCTGTACTTACCTCCTGGTTTTGAGCATCATTGTTTTTAGTTAATGCATGAATGCCTTCTGTTACTCTAAGCATTGTAATTCCCTCTTTAAACTTCTGACTTTATTTCCTCCTTCAAAACATTCCTCAAAATTGAGATAACAAGGTGTAGAGCTGGATGAACACAGCAGGCCAAGCAGCATCAGAGGAGCAGGAAGGCTGATGTTTCAGGCCTAGACCCTTCTTCAGAAATGACCTCTTTGCCAAGCCGTTAGTCACCTGCCCTAATTTTGTAAGTCTTCTGAGACATGCTATCAGGGCTTTTAGTGCATTCAAGGTAGAACAGAAACTTAAGTTACTGTTGTTGTATAGGATAGGCAGCAAAAAGGAAGGCTGTTGCTTTATTGCCTCTTTAGTCAATCCAAAACATTCAGACACATATTCCCCTCCCCTCCCTTGTCCGCCTTCCGCAGGCACCGCTCCCACCGGGACACCCTGGTCCACACTTCCTTCACCCCCAACACACCCCCCACAGCACTACGGCACCTTCCCCTGAAACACCTGCCCGTTTACCTCCTCCCTCCCCGGTATCCAAGGGCCCAAACATACCTTCCAGGTGAAGCAACACTTCACCTGCACTTCCCAGAATCTAGTCTACTGCATTCGCTGCTCACAAATGTGGCCTCCTCTATATTGCGGAAACGAAGCGTAGACTTGGCGACCGCTTCGCAGAACATCTACATTCTGCTCACAAAAAAGACCCTGAACTACCTGTTCCCTGACCAACATGTCTGTCTCTGGCTTGCTGCAGGGTTCTAGCGAAGCTCAACGTAAGCTAGAAGAGTAACACTTCATTTTCCATTTGGAGACCCTGCAGCCCTCTAGACTCAATATCAAGTTTAATAATTTAGGGCCTAAACTCTCCCATGTCCCAGCCCCCTACCCCACACACCAGGCCTTGTTACCACATAGCCTGCCATTACACACTACCTGTTATTAGTCACTAATAGTCCCCATTAACAACTATTCACCCTCCCAGCCTGATCGTTATCAACTCTGTCTGTCCATCTGCTCTTCTCTCTCTTTAGGCTCAATCCTATCACTTACTCCCTACCCCATCCCCCTCCCCTTTTATCTGCATATAAACTGACATTTTTCCAGCCACCATCAGTACTAAGGAAGGGTCACTGGACCCGAAATGTTAACTCTGTTTTTTTCATTCACAGATGCTGCCAGACCTGCTGAGCTTTTCCAGCAACTTTGTCTTTGTTCAAAACATTTCCAGGTGCATGTCAATACAAAGATGGTATTACAGTTTAAGAATAGATCATCTAAGAGTTTACATCAGATCCTGTCAAGACGTAAGTTATACCTTAAAGCATCTTTCCAACTCACCTTCACTCGTCAAAATTTTCCAAAATTATTTTTCAGTCTTTTCAACATTACAAGATTCGAAATACCCAACCTGTCTGTCTGTGATAACATGAAAAAATAATCCAAGAGAAAAACACAATGCAATATTCCTTTTCTCATTGATCCTCCTGCTTTCCAAGATAAAATTCCAGTTTTCAGCTGCAGGACTTGAGGCACCAGGCAACAGACATTACACTTCCTTTCAGTGTTGACTGTTATGATTTCATGTGAAATATAAGTGATTCTTGGCAGGGTTAGATTTTTAGCACAAATTATGTCCATTATGGAGTACAAAGTTACAATAAAACTAGTTACCACAGTACAGTTCTACAGATATCTCCAGTAAGCAGTGGGCGTGAGGGGGGGTGGAGAATTAAATTTGTGGGTGAATTTGGCAAACAAAATCAAGATTTACAACACCGGCACAACGACAGATATACAGCAACGAAATGGAGAATATCAACATAAAAGAAAGCTAGGTAAAGGGTGCATGGATTGGAACTCTTGATATACTTGTTGCATAGATAAGCCTCAGAAAGAAGCGATTTGCATCCTTACACAGCAAACAGATTGAAATTTACACAAAACAGAGGAAAACAAATCAGCCCAGTTTAACATGGTCCAAAACTTGAATATTAGCTTCCCAGCACTCTGCTTTGACATAATTCAGTTAGCATAAACCAAAATCTGACCTGTCAACTCATTTACTTTTGCTTCATGGGTATGTTAAAAGTGTTGTATACAGTTCCATAATAATGTCCTTGTACTCCACACATCCACTTATACAGCCCAGGATTCCATTCACTTTACGACGAGCTTTCCCAAACTGCCTTGCTGCTTTTAACAATATGCAAATATAGTTCACAAAGTTCCTCTGTTCCTTCACTCTCTTGCAATTAGCTGACTGAAAAGTGACTTCCATGATTTTTAGGAAAAAAGTTTTCCACAGAAATTCTACACAAAACATTATGAAACTCAATTGAAACAAAGGCTTGATTTTTTTTATTTACATTAAACGCAAGGTCAATCACTGATATTGGGGGTATCCACAGTTGTATATCACATTTAGTGCCTTAGACATTTTATTAAGATTCCATAAAAATTTGCAACTTGTGAAATGCACTGCAGCCAATTTGTCTGCATTCTATGCTCATCGTCTTTCCTAGCAATTACCCTGTGTGTCTATGGACATTAACCCTAACCCCACACACACATTCTTGTCAAAAGGAAACTAAATTTACAAAAGCAATGCACATACTGTATAAAATACAGTTTAGTCACTATTGATCACATCTACTACACTGTCTATAGGACAATATCAATTCAACAATTCACTATATCTCTGACATACTGTTCAAAACAATATACTATCACAAAGCATCCATAAAGGCTTGTCCAAGCTTTCACATAAAAGTTGGCATTGTAATCTTTAATATTTACATTCAGCTATTTTTTTTTTATTTCGATAACCACAATTTTAATCCATTCATCTCAAGAAGTAGATTATTAAAAAGTTAAAAAATAATCTTTAGGGAGAAATAGAGACAACAAGGTGCAGAGCTGGATGAACACAGCAGGCCAAGCAGCATCATAGGAGCAGAAAGGCTGACGTTTCGGACCTAGACCCTTCAATACTTGTTTTTAACATTCCATATTGTAGCAGAAGTAACCAGGTTATAAAAAACAGAAATGCAATTAACAAAAATTCAATATAATAATTGAAAATTTAAACATTCAAAGTAGTAGCTGCATAAATTAGTCTTCCTAAAAATTATAAAAGCACAATCCTGATTGTCAAAATTAAATGGACTTGCAATATGTTCTCTGGCACTGTTGTCCAATTATTACTTCCCTTTATTGTAATCGTGCAACTAACAGCACAAAGATCAAGAATGCCCCCTTGTGGCTTAAAAATTAAAACAATCAATTTGCCCTTCATCAAAACCTTCCTCGAAACATCCAATAATAAATCAACATCCAGTGAAAGACCCAGCTAGAATTATTATACGCAAGAGTATAGCAATTTTGACTAAGCAATTTCCTATAAAACTCAAAGTTTCAAGCAGAAACTCAAATGATTCAATCTTTTGTCGTTTTACACACTGATCATAGAAACATTAAATGGCAACATACATATTCCAACTGTATCACACTGGAAACTGGCCACACAAGTAGCTTGTTATCTAGATTATAATAAAAAAAGTCTTACCTTTGAATGTGTTATTGAGAGTGTATCCACCCAGACACGCCAGCCACCCCACTCATACTTTATTGCATGATAAAGCAATATTCGGAAGATAGCATATACCATCTCTGTTATTTTTTGTTCTTCAGAATTCTTAGCATTGACATAGCAAAGAGATAACATCCATTCTTGCCATACTGAGCACTGCAGTAAACTCCTGCAACACAACAATGACAATTCAGATTTTGGCAATATGAAAATCTGCAAATAAATCAAAGTACAAACGAGAAATACAGACAACACTAAATTGCCTTATTTTAATTCTACGAGAAAGACTAGCTACATTAACTTAGAAAATGACTTGGACTTTTCCCTTAAGTGCTGGGTACTCTGAACACTCGCCAAATTTATGGAAAAATTATATTCTAATAATTCAGTGGGATGATGTGACTGACTACGAATTAATCCTAAACTTTAAAATGCAAGCATTTAACAAAACACTTTCTTTTAACATAAACAAAATATTTAAATGATTGCAAACAGTGAGTATATCTAGAAAATTCAGATACATATTCCTCAAAAGAAAAAAGGCAACAAAACTTTCTTAATTTACATGAGTCACAAGTTAGATGACAAACATAACTGTATACACAAAGCAATTTTGTTTTAAAGCCAAATAAGGGGGATATAGAAACACCCTATTACTTTTATCCAGATGAAATATCGACACTTTACCGAAAACATTAAGCCTCTCCAAACGACAAGAATGTACCTGCATTTCACATGACCATCCATTTAACGAGAAACAGGCTGAAATTCTGCAAGAGTAGTTCTAATTTTTATATGCGTTTTAGTTAACTTTTCTATCACTTTCACTTGAACAACAATCACGGTTTTGTAATAAATTAACTTTTATCTTTTTTACTAAAGACTTGCTGTTGGCTGTTTTTAAATTGAATCACATGCAAATCAAAATCAAGCTACATTCATACACACAAACTCTTTGCTGAGAGACAACGCTGGCCACCTGTTATATGTTTGTGATAATTAGAAGACATCTCAATGGGGGTTTTTTTAAAACACTTTTTTAATTCGGGAAACAAGTTAAAACTCATTAACAGTAATTATTCCTCTGAGCCTTAAGCTGCCCTTTATTTGTACTTAGCTATAGTGATAGTTATTTAATGAGTTACGCAAACTAACATTTCAAGAACTAGGGGGCACTTTGGTTGGTTAAATGTTCCTTTTAGTCAGTTATAAAAAAGTTCCAATGTGGTAATCAGAGCAAAAGTATTAAAGTACTGTTCAGACTAAGTCACCTAGTTAAGGTGACGTTTTATCTTCCATCTTCCTTAACACATCAATAAGCCTTGCACTTGTCAATTGATCCAGTAGTTGACCTGTTCACTGCTGCGTTAAAGAAACTAGTAGCAAACATAATACTATGATTGATTTAACAGAGCAGAAAAGTCACAGCTTGTCATTCATAGAACAAAAATTCAACAGAACATAAAAAGGGACATAGAGGCTGACTGGGGAAAAATGGTCAACGGAGAAAATCAAGATCAAGATATTTTGCAACTGTTTCTACAGTTCTGGAATTGTAGAATGCAGATGCTCAGGACATTGTTTTTTAGCGTTGGTGTATAATGAAGACATTTATCAATAAATTTGACTTGATTAAGCAAGTAAAAAGTTATGCTATTATTTGTTTGATTGGGGTTAGTTGTAAAACATCTTATGTAATAGGCAGGTTGAATCAGGCATTCAAGTACTGGACAAATATTTGAATAGAAACAATGTGCAGGGGAACAAGGAAAAGGCAGGAGGTTGGCACCAAGTCATAATGCTCATTTGGAGTATTGATACAGACATGGTACGCTGAATGCCCTCCCTCCACACCATAACAATTTTCTGATTCTGTGAAGAATAGTGATATGACCCAGGTCAAAAGTAAGGTCATAGGTTTATGATTTTATTGCTGCTTTCACTTAAATGGAGAACGACTGCAGAATTGTGAAGTGCAAAGGGATTTAAGTGGTCTGGTGCATGGGTCACAAAAATTTCATTTGCAGATCACAGCGTAGTCATGAAAGTTAATGGGATGCTATCCTTCATTACAAGAGGAATTGAATGTACAACAAAGGATATTATGCTTAAGTTGTACAGGGCATTGGTGAGACCACATCTTACATATTGTGCAAAGTTTTGGTCTCCTTTTCCAAGGAATAATGCAATTACATTGGAGGTTGCTCAAAGGAAGTTTATTGGATTGATACCTGGAATGAGCAGGTTGTCATACAGGGATAGGTTAGACACACTACAGCTTCGAGGATCAAGGGGTGACTTGATTGAAAATGTGCAAGATCTTATGGGTGAGTCAAGAACAAGGGGGCATTGTTTAAAATTACAGATCACCTTTTTAGGGTATAGATGAGAAGAAATTCTTTTCCTCCCCCCTCGAGGTATGAAGCCCTGGAACACTGCCTCAGAAGATGGTGGGGGCAGGATTACTAGATATTTTTATGACACATGGATACATTCTTGTTGGGCAGGATTCTTGGTTATCGTGGTAGATAGGATGTGGAATTCAAAACACAAGATAATGAGCCACGATCTTAAACAAGAAAAGCAGAACCACCGATGCTGGAAATCTGAAACAAAAACAAAGGCAAAAGCAGAAATGGTTGGAGAAACCTAGCAATTCTGGCAGCATTTGTGGAGAGAAAGCAGAGTCAACATTTCGGATCCAGTGACCCTTCTTCAGAACTGGACTGGACTCCCATCCTTAGTTGCCCAATAAGCTGGCAGTGAGTGGCCTTCTACAATCACTGATCCATACGCTGCAGGTAGACCCATGATGCCATTAAAGAAACCCAGGGTTTTGACCTGTGACAATGAAGGAATGACGATATATTTCTAAGTCAGGAAAGTGCACACAGATGTGGATAGCACGCACACAGGTGCAGAGAGCATGCACGCGGAGACAGAGAGAGTGAGCGAGCGCAGTGTGCTCACGTGCACAGGATGCGCACATGGGTGTGGTGTGCCTGTGTGGAGCGTGCGTGCGGGAGTGTGGTATCTTTGTGCATGTGGGGTATGCGTGTCCTGTGTGGTGTGGTGCAATGGGAGGGCACGGGGAACATGTGTCCATCTGTGTGCACATCACTATGTGCATGGTCCAGGTCAGCATTATTACATATTTAATAGTGTAACCTTTCCTGGCTAACTACTTACTTGGATTGCATCAGATACTTCTGAATTCTCTGATTTAAGTGGGGACTTTTGGAGAGCCCAAGCATAGAGAAATTGTCCAGCGGAATCTTCAATTTCCTGGACAATTCCTTCATAGTATACTATGATGAAATCCTGCAGGGTCCCAATGTGCATCTCCGTCTACATGGGAAAACGACCATCAGGCCATTGGAAAATCTAAACCATTTTGTCAAAGCTTTTCATCTTACACTCAGTGCTTGGATTCAGACAGAACCCAAGCTGAATATCAGTGCACCAAAAATGGTTGAACTATTCAGCATGTCACGTTGCATCTGTTGAGAGTGAAATAGGATCAATGGTTCCAGTCTGTAGGAAGGTCATAGCCTATTATAAGCAGTCAAAGTAACATGGTGCTTGGCTGAATAAGCCAAAAGCTGGGAGGTATGGTCTGGGTTGGTGGCATTGCACCAGCAAAGACATTCGTTCACTGCATTTCTCAATTGTGACAGGCAGAACATCTTTTCGGACTGGAGACTGTATCCTGACAGTGAGAAACATCACTTGTACAGCCACTGCATAATTACAGAGCAAAACAGCTTGCCTAACTTGTAACTCAACATTTTGTGATACATTGCCTTTCCAGGTAATTTGATGTAGACTGAGCACCTTTCAGGAACAAAAGTGGCAACCTAATTTGCAAATCTGTGCAACAGAGATCAAACAGGCTGTTGCTCCTGAAGAAGGTTCTTTCAGGTTATGTCTTCAAATCTAATATTCTCTTCCAACCACAAACTGGTTCAAGTAACCTCTCTCAAAGCGTTATCACAGTGCCATTTGGGCAGCTTGTTCTTTCCAAAGGCAAAATTGTTGCTGCTGTAGGCCTTTGTCTTTTACTTTGCAAAATATTGTTTCCAAAATTTTCAAGATATATATAGTTATGTCATTAATACTTTGGAAAACAGAAGTTGGATTGGACATTTGAGGCATTGAGGTATTGGGATATTAAGGTGTTTGAGGCCAGAGATATTAGACTTAAGGACCATCCAAATGAGATGCAGCTTTAGATCTAAGTATGTCATCCAGTTAATGGCTCTTTCGCAGAAACATCACAATCAAACTGTTTGACTGTTTATTACTGAAAATCATACATTCTATTAACATTCATTAATTTCTAAGCTCCAACTCAACTAGCACAATGCTGAAAGAACCAAAGTAAAAACATTTAGTTCAAGCCACAATCTCTTAAAAGAAGTTATTGAGGAGCATGCAACTTAGCAGATTTTATCATTTTTAAAAACTTAGCATGTTTGATCAATGAAGCAACAAGGAAGGAAGCTCCATTTTAAGATCTGAAATCACTTATTTACTACTAACTGCACTGTAAAACGTTCAGAACTTCTAATTTGCTAATATATGGAACTCAGCTGTATAGAAATGAACCTTTTAATACTTACTTAGTGCTAATTAGCAACTAAGAAAGTTCAGTTCAGAACTTGCAGGATGACTACCAGAATTTAAGCAAACAATTCTGTGCCAGAATTATTTAGATGACCTGACAACAGAAACAACAAATGTGTTTCACAAGTAGATAGTTGGTTAAAAAAAAAATCATATTTGGGCATTGTCATTGAAATTTTCCAGCCAGTGAAGTAGTTGTAGAATTATAGAACCCCGACAGTGCAGAAGCAGCCATTCTGTCCACTGAGTCCACATCGACTCTCCGAATTGCAAACTCCCCACTGAAAGTCACTGAGGTGGAATCAAACCCGGATGCCTGGTGCTGTGAGGCAGCAGTGCTAACTACTGAGCTAGCTGCCTCACTTGTGATTAAATCAAAAACTGTGACAAGTCTGTAAATTTGACAAATTATACTTTACCAGCATATACTGCATTTACAGCACACAAAGCAATTATTCAGCTCACCAATTCCACGGCAGAGCTTGCACTCCACTTGAGCCCACCAGATAAAATCCCACTATTCCTTTCAGTGCCATGTGTAGA